TACAACTCTCAGATCTGACTGCTCTCAGGTTTAGCTGTTGAGTTTGAATGCTGGGGGCAGACATGAACTCTACCACCCATCCTCCATGACAGATGAAGGAGTTTTGATATGCAAATTCATTAGTACCACAATCAATTAGAATTCTTTTAATCTAATTATCTAATATATTTAGGCTTTATACAACTGAATTCCCAATAAGTCAATGTAAATTTAGGTACCTAAATATCTCTGCATCTGATCTTATGTACTTTATGTGCTATTTTGCAAATCCAAAATTTACAGTCTGATTTGGCATACGTCTAGACATTCTGGCTTTGTAAATGGGTGAGAACTTGCCTTGAAACCCATGAAAAAATATTGTTTATACTTATAGACTAGTGAGGAAATAACACCCTAAGGGTAGATATTGGCAGCACAGGGTAGGGCAGCATCTCAAGAGCAATTGTGAGTTATACAAGTCAGATGGAACAGGTTACTTCCATCACAAAAGCCTAAACCCAGCCTCAGATACCAATCTAAAGTGCTCTCACATTTCCAAAATATAAAGCATCAAGTGGAAAGTAAAAACAAATGAAACAAGTCTTGATTACAGAGGAACAAACCTTTCAAAACTGAGTTTAACCAGGGATCAAACAGGCTTTACATTGCACTTGAATATGGCATTCAGAGAGTAACTATGAATCATGCCAAGGCTTGTTTCAGTCTACAAATCCCATGGTCATAAAGGAAATAAGCCTTTCCCTATTCCTCTGCATCCAATAAATCTGAGGAATGCAGGATGATGTCTCAGAAATTACAGTCTTCTTTTGAAGGCAGCAATAACTTTTTTAAAAATGGTATATGCTTTGACAGAGATAGGAATTTAAACATATGGAAAATTGATTATAAAAAAAATGGGAAAGCTTGCAACTAGTGTCCTTCTCTTCTAGCAGTTTTTGGCCAAAGATAGAATGGATTACACAAAGGGTTGCCCAAAAATAGAATGGGTTACATGAAAGGTTATGGCAGTGCTTGACAGCTACAGCAGTGATATAGGACGTCACCTATTTTCTGTCAAATAATGAACATTCTTGTCAATTTAATGTGGTGACTGAATAATTCCACTGGAAACATCAATAATCAAAGAGTAACTCATTTTGACAATACCTCTAGAAYAATAAATAGCATGGACACTACTGTGTATATAAAGTATGAATAATTACAACAAAGGCACATAGCTAGTATAATACAACATATATCTTGAAATAAATGTAGGCTGAAACCAAAATACAAACTCGGCACCTTGGCAAGGCAGTAATGTAAGTTCTGTAAAGCATTTACTTTACCGTTGAGTTAATTTTACAATGAAATCTTTGCTGTGCCCATATTTATAAAATKCTACTTCTACTATAAAGTTCTTCAAAAAAAAAGTGACTTTAGATGAAAGGAAAAGCATTAAGTCCTGTAAGTGGCTTTTAGTAGCAATTCAATAAATTTTTATGCTGAACTGATTCAAAGCTAACTCCGCCTTGCAGTGCTGCAAACGAGTCTCACCTCAACACTTTCAGGAAGCTGTTACTGCCATATTTAATTAAATAAGGTGCTTTTGATAAAGGCCATGCTTTGTAGCAAGTCCTGATGGCAAATGAGTATAGGGAGCCCACACATGACTAAGGGACAGTGTGGTACCCAGATATTCAGCAGTAACGTGATAATATTGGGGACAAAACTGTGTCCCCAACTTCTCACCCCACATCACATTTGGGCTTAGTCACTTCATGCCTTTGTGTCTGCTTTCCTYTCTGGGTCTTTTTTAACCAGATCAGTGATCTGGTCCAGTTCCCTGCATGGCAACATCATCATTCGTTTTAACATAAAGGAGGTGGTGGGGCAGGACACGTTCTTGCAGCAGCAACCTGGTTTCCATCTTCAGAGATGAAAAAGTAGCTAATGCAGTCTAACATTTCCAAACTTACCAGGGCTTTTTCTTAAGGTTCAAGMTTAGAAAAGCACTGAAGAATCAGGTAGCAATGAATATGCATATACAAAAGAGAGGAGTGCTACATGCCAGAGAAATGGCATGAACTCCAACTCAGGATGAACTTCCTCCACACTGCTGGCTGTCAATGCCTGTCACTGACACAAGTATTCCAGGGTAGCTGAGACAGAAAAATACTGTATCTACTTCCAAAGGCCTAGCCAAACTCTACAGTCTCATCTCCAGGACACTGTTTGCAAAGGTAGAACTAAATACAGGTCTGCAAAACCCTCTGCCCCCTTCTGATACAATTAGATGAAAGGAAGTTGCATGGAGAGACCTTATAACAAAAGCAAAGCCGTTTTTATCATTTGTTTCATAGATGAGCAGTTATTTATAGCACAGATACACATAGCTGAAAACTTCTAGATTACTGAATGAAAGTCTAACATGAAAAAAAATCTCACGTCTTTATATAATATGACAGGGCTGATTTGAAGGATTATGTAACTGGACTGAATCCCAGACCCTGGAAGAGCTCTGAAATACAGCTTTCTGCACTCTTCTGTTAAACTTTTTCTGCCCAGAATGTGTAAGTTGCAGAAAACACCAAGTTATCCCACCTTGCACCAATCGCTAACTGCTGAAGTAGGCAATGTGTCACAGTGCTTTTTCCCTGGTGATATTGGTGTCAGATGCAGCTTCCAGGACCTGATTAGGCTGCTCTCTTCCTTTGCTGTGGAAATCTCTGAGTCCTGAGTAGCACAGTGCCTAGGGCTGCAGACCAACTAAGCCTCCTCTTTCTTCCTGCACACAAATGATCCACTTCTCCCCCAGAAGAGCAGCTTCACTGCTTCCAATTCAAATTGAAATTCAACTTTGTGACAATATGCTTCTCCAAACTAGCTCACTGAAAGACAAGCTATGAGTCTTAGGAACAATAATAGTGCTTAAAATAGAAATTAACAATCTTTCAGGGACATATTTAATCAGAGAGTGAGTGAGCAAGGAAATTTTTTAAGAAGTAAAGAGAAAGTAACACTGTGTTTGATACTGTCTTCAGAATCAATATTCTTTTTCCAAGCATAAGATCTGCTTCAGGTTTGCTTTTTCTCTTATGTTCTGATAAGTCCACTTGTGTGAAATTAGGCTTCCTGGTGATCACACACACCAGCTGCACACTGTCACAGGGCTTGTCATGAAGAAAATTTCTGACATTTCATCTCTGCAGCAGCCAGCTTGCAGACAAATGCCTTTGTGTTTGGCATGGACTGAAAAAAAGCTATTGTCCACACTCTGTATTTTGCTTTACTGAAAATATCCCAGAAAAGAGAGAATATGTGGTGYAGAATCTCAAATACGAATGGAAGATCTGCATCTGCCATTGGAGCTTTAAGCAAGTTTAAAAATAAAATTTTTCAATTGCAAAATATTTTTTTTTGTTCTCAACATTGGAGAAATCTTCTCTATATTGCTATATGAATTTGGTAGGGAAAAAAGAGCAAACTACCCAGAGGTGATAGTTGTCTCTTCCTAGGAGGGAGACTTCTTAAGGGCAAGAACACCTGCAGGCTGTTCCAAGTTTTTGGTAAGAAGATTGAAACCATTGTCTGYGACAAAGGCAATGCTGTGCAGGAGCACAGCAGGGAGAGGTCATTTTGTGTAATGCTCTGGTTTGTACAGGCAGTAAAATTTTGTACAGAGGCAAACAAGTATCAGCAGCTTTTGCTGCCAGTTATTCCTAACTATTTAGATTGTCTCTGTTTTCCTGTAGTTCCTGAATYATGGCATTCCTCTGTGCAGATACACACACTAACTTCACCGGATTCTGTAGGTCCGGTCTGTTTATGTCCCCTTAGGTGTWGCTTTGTGAAAAGGCTTTGTTTAAATCACAAACAGAAGAGGTGAATTACTCCAAGGTAGATATTCTGATTTCTCTCTGAAACACAGATAAGACCATTTTAGAAGCTCTTTTCTGTTGATCTCCTATCTTTAGATCTCATCTTCTTTGATGGTCCTTTTCCCCGAAACATGACCCCCTCTGAGACCTAGTAAAAGTCTCCACAAATCAGAGATGCAGCTAAGCATTTGAAATTTCTGGAGTACAGCTCTTCAGATGGAAAAGCACACATTCATTCAGAAGAAAAGGAACAGTGAGGTCTAGCTGTGATAAACCATCAAAACCTGGTTTTCAGATACAGTCTGTGTAAATATCCTTCATCCACAGAACAAAGACAGTGCTAGTGATAGCAATACGTKCCTGAAATCCAACACTGTCAAGGTTTTTTCCTCCTTGTTTTTCCCCAGCACTGATAAGTTGGTGTGCATTCCTGTGCAATCTACTTGGAAGATTCAAATTACACAGTGTTTGCTAAACCTGACACTTGGCCAAAGAAGTACTTAACAGAACTAATACAGGGACTAGTGATCAAATGACAGGGTCTTGAAAAAGTGTCATTATCTATTTGATGAGTGACAACTTAAGCCTCAGTTTGCTGCTGGTCTCTTTTGAAGAACTGAGGCTCCAAAAACGTAGTTCATAACTTGACTGCATCCTAAAAACTGTTAATTAATTGTTCATATAGGCATRGGATTTTAAAATACCAGCCTCCTTCAAGTTAAGTGAAAAAAAAAATGTTTCCATTCCTTTGATGCAAGGAAGTGTGTGACTAACACGGAAAGATAATGTTGCTGTTACATGGCGATAAGGAAAGGTCACCAGTGCAGATTCCATATTATGTGTAGGAATTTTTACCAGAAATAAACATTTTTATCTTGAAGAAAAGATTGACTATGGGTAGTAAATGTGACACTATAATRCTGCCTTTTGTTTTGTCCCCAAGATCATAAAAAAAATTAATTTAAGATCAGTCAAAGTGCAGGAACAATCTGTAATTCTCTGCCATTCCCTCTCAGTGATTAGCATCTGCTTTGGGCAGCTGACTTCCAATCACAGGATATTGCTGGATGCATGGAAGCAAGGAGTATTTATCTGTAAACATTTTTTTTTTTTTTTTTTTTTTTTTTGTAGTCTAAAATCACATGCAACACTGGAACTAAGCCACTGAAAGCACAGTTCAACCTTCACAACAGGTTTCCTGAAAAGCTGCAGCAGGAACAAAATCTGACTGTCCAGTAAGTATTCCCTTCCTTTCCATGTTATTATTAAACCCAAACTAGGAGGGTTTTCTGGTGGGTTTTTTGGTATGTTTCGTGGGATGTTGTTTTTTTTTAATTTTGGGTGGGCTTTTTTTGGGAGGGGGGAGCAGGGGGGTGGGGTGGGGGACTAAGCTAGGGGAAGAGGTGGAGTAAAGCTTCAATCGAAATAAACATACGCCTCTTTCTTAGGGCCCTCCAAATGCTGGCATGACAATCTTGCAGTGTGATGTGCTCCTTGTATCTGCAGTACTCCTTCAGTGCCCTCCTTTATCGCAGTTGCTGAAATTTGTCATTGCTCTGATCCTCCYGGACCTGTTGAGAGCAGGCTGAGGGATTGCCTCCCTAACCTCCTGTCATCAGCACAGTTTTGTAACCCCCCACCTGCCTATCAGGGATCTGTCTCCCTCTCACACCCAAGGCAGAAAGCTGCCTTTGATAACAAATGAGATGCATTTTAGTTTTGTTTCTCRTCCTCTGACACAGCTCTTTGGATTAGCTGCTTAACACATGATGTAGCCATCAGATTTATTATCCAACTTCATTATCATCCTTTTTTTCCCTCTAGAAAGTACTTTCATTGTGCTATTTTGTGGATGGCACATGGGGACATGCAAAGCATGGGGAAACACCACAGAAGCTTTTTCAGCTTGTTTCCTTAAAACAATTTCACTTCRGTGGTGCAGTACTGTTTTCATCAGCTCAAGGGCTGCTCCTGCTCTAGATGTCAGCTCAGGGCTTTCAGCTCAGGCTGTCTCTACTCAGTCAGAGGCCGGGAGCTCTAAACACAGAGAGATACTTCCCTCTGCTGGGCATGTTTATAAACCAGTGCAAAATAAATGTTAAAAAATAAACAAGTGGTCTCCTTCTCTGTTTGACCCTGCAAGGTCCAGATAAATAATAACAACATTTAATTTTGTGCATCTAAATGTGGATGTTCCCACGTGCSTCTGGAGGCACCTGCCTTTCTCCACTGGCTGGATAAGGAAGCAAGMTCACTAACATTATCTATTGGAGTTGGGTGCCTCGTGTAGGTAGGGCAAACACCATCCTACTGCTCCCAAATACTTTAACTGAATGTAAGCATCATCAGAAATCCCAAGCCCATATAAATATCATTGAAAAAATTTAATAGTTCTTATGATTATTTGCAGATGTAGGGTGGACACTGAGTTTGTCTCAGAAACATCAAGCTCTGTTTTCAAGATTACTGTATGGAGCAGAATATTGGGAAACTGGACCCTGATTTGTAGGACGTATCAGAGGCTATGAGGAAGAAGTGTTACAAGGTTGGATTTTGGACTACTTGCAAGTCACTGCTCGGAAATTACAGTAAATTGTTCTTTCTGGACCTCCAGTTTCTTTAATAAGCAATTTATTCATATGTACCATGGGGTAGTTCAGTAATTTAGTCACATGTTGGACACGTGTATTTTCTTGAATGGCAGTCATTCTTGTGCAGAAGAAAAACAGTTAAGTGAGTCAAAAARTGTTTGTAAGCAAGCAACTGGCTAAACATGGAAAGGATTTTCARACCACTGTATAATTTTGGCATATTTTTTCAGTGGAATAATTTACATTACTGTTCATGTAAGACGAGTTCAGATAACACAGCAGTTTAGCAGCTGGGATTCACTGTGTTTCTCCAAGCTCAATGAATTTTTTCTTTTTTATGTTGTCAGTTTATTTCATAAAGGTCATATTTTCTAAACTGGCTGGAGATTTTGATATAGTATAAGGATTTACATTTTTATGAGTGCTCAAGAACTTTTATTGCTGAATGTTTTGTAGAGAAGTTGAGTACGCTTCAGCAATTTATATTATAGTCCACAGATGGAAGAAATATGCAGACAATAGAAAGGAATCAGACTCTTGGTTTTATGTTGGTTATTCAGCAAGTCCTATGTCCCAATGATGTTCTGCAATCCAGGTTGATTATTTTATGATCATTGCTTCACAAATTAAAGCACTATCCTAAAATAGCATAGACTTTTATCACCTCTATTCATTTTGCCTTTATTSCAATATCATCTGTCAAGGAAAAATGTTTTTCTTTCTTATTGTGTTACATCAGCAGTTCAGGCTTTGTTTCATTATGCTACACCCAGAAAAAACATCATCCCCTCTGTTTTTAGGAAGCAATTTGTCRTTTTAGTATCACCCACAAGTTCTCACTTTCCTAAAAATATTGAACAGCAGTTCTGCTGGATTGTTGTTGGTTTCCTTCCCCATAAATTGCTTCAGTGCCTGAACCACAATTATTTAACATAATGCCATTAAAAATCAGACACTAATGCATGGATCTGGTCCCTTTATGTCTGTTTATTGAGAATGGTAGAGTTTCCCTTTTTTTTTTTTTTTTTTTGCTTTTTACAATCACAGTCAAATAGAGATAAATTTACAGATTTATCTCAATTTATAGACAATTGGTAATTTTCATTTATTCATAGCACCAGATATCAAGATGGCTAGAAATGTCACTTAAACGAGGTAATTCTGTACACAGTCAGGTTGGTTTGGCCATAGCTCTTGCATGGTCTTGACACATTCACTGTGAATATCAGAAGAGTTAGGATATGTGACACCTTAACTATTAGAGAAAAGTGTCCCCTGAGCACAYGGTTGTGTAGAACAGGAGACTGGTTCTCACAAAGTGTCTTCACAACAAGTGAGAGAAACTTGTGGGGTATTTTTTGGCTTTAGAAGAAAAACTGCTGGCAGATAAAGAATTGTAGGAACAAGTTGCTATTGATTCTCTTTCACTTTGTAACCAACCAATCTCTTAGGAATCCCCACTCCTCCAGCTAAGTATTTTATTCCTGTCAWCTTTGTAAAAGACTACCTGGCTGTAAGAATACAGCACTATATGCAACTGAACACCAGAATAAAATAAAATCCAACTGCTAATGCTTGACGTTATTTTCAATATTCTAACACATCCTTTGACTTTAATTAGCAAGAAACATTGGATTTTGCATTATTTATAAAACAGTTTGCCTTATGTTTTTAAGTTAATTTCACTCAGTTGCAGTCTTCTACTTCTTAGCTCTCACTGCTTTCAAGTGGGTCACACTGRGGGGCATTTAATTCTGAACAGACTCTTGCATTCTGGAAAACATCCTCTTTTAAATRCTCCTCTTCTTCCCAATATCCTTGAAATTAATAGAATCTCATCATAAACTTTTAAAAGATATTCTCTTTTAGTGTGCTGTATTGAGACTGAGCAATCTGTAAAAGATAAAAAGACAAAACATGGAATTTTACTGAAAAATACCCCAAAGTATCATACTTTTCATTTCAGCAGCAGTTCTGAACTGCAGTAAATACAGATCAGAAATTGCTTACATCATACATTGCAAAAGAGGCAGATTCTCTCTCTTGCCAAACCAATAATCTCTTCTTGCTTTGACAAGTTTAGAAAATCAGAGTAGTTACACTCCTTACCTTCAATTTCTAAACTATTCAAAACCATAATTACTTAGGTAAAGCGCAACTTAAGTACCCAGGAATAAATACAATGCAGTGAAGAGAATGACCTGAATTAGTCCTGGGAGTTCAGGTATATTCTATGTCATTCTATAAAAGATATTTCACAACCTTAATAGAAAAAAGATAAGTTCAAAACATTTCATATAAATAATGAATTAAATCAATGCTTTAGAACTTTATAAAGAAACTGCAAGACTTGYAGAAGGTTCATATCTGCGAAGTTTTCAAAATTAATTTATTGGTAGCATGATAAAATTCCTGTGTTTTATTTCCTGATTAACGTCTTCTGAGTTTGGCAGATCTGTCCTAGGMAAGCAAAGTTTTGGTTGCATTCCTTGAGTAACATAATTACACAAGATTAGATTAGAATTCAGATGCCAGCACCCCACCTTGCAACATGGAGAGCTGCATTAAACAGATTTCTGTTCCTTCACACAGCTCTTTTGTAGATCTCATGTCAACATACAGTGCACACTCTTGTCCTTTCCAAAGGTACCAACCAGTTTCACAGTGGTGAACATGTTAAACAAGAAACAGACAGTTAAAAAAAAATCACATCATAAACTCCATCTGAATTAAATAGCCAGAAAGGCCCTGAAATGGTACTTGAAGTAATATCTTTAAAGTGAGGCATGTATATGCTAAAAATTGCATGGTTGCAATGCAGATAGACAGGCTTATTCAGATTTATTGCTTGTTCAACAACATTAGCTCCTCTCAGACAGACTAATGTTTACTGTCTAATGAATAACAGCATTAGAGTATTTCTACAACCRTGTCACTATTCAAGAAAGGGAAAGTTCTTTTTAATACAAATAAAGGTATAAATGAGAGATTTTTAGGTAATGAAGTCCTAAATGGGAAAAAAAGGAAAGATTTTTGATTTAAACATATCCATACCTAATAAAATTTTCTTTCCTGGCATAATGAGTTAGCTCTGAACTTGAGGATTGTTGAYCAAGTCTACATAGGCTGAGGATAGCACCAAAGACCTGACCTAACCCACCGTATGCAGCCAAACCCTGCCTAGCACACCTTGAAAAGATTAGACCATTTTGCAGACATGACAGCTGAAGAACTTTCCACACCTTCCTGTCCAGCCTCCTCTTACTGTCGACAGCAATGTGCAGGATTTTGGGGAGACTTCAGATCCCCTACAAATTACAAATGCATCCACACAGAGATATAATCCTCTTCATGCAAGAGGTGCTAAAGATGGACAGTTAGGTGTTAACATCACTTTAGTACAAAGCTGTCTACTTTGTTGTAGACAAAGAGATACTGGAGATACTTTTAAGTCTCAAGATATTTTAGAGCTCTGTCAAAAGGCCGAGATTTAGGAAGTTGTGTGATACAGACTAATCTTACTGACTGATGTAGAACACCGAGAACATAAACCTAAAAGAAGTCCTGTGGTTTGTCATGATGGAAATTAATGCAGCTCTGTCAGTATTAACTGTGGATATTTGGACATTTACCAATGTAGTTGCCAGATTCAGCAAGCTTGTGGCTAAATTATCTTGATTCTTTGCTGTTACTACTGAGTCAATCATTCTGAGATATTTTCTTGTGCTGAAGAAACCTCCAACTCTGATACGGGAAAAGAAAAATATCTTTTTTTTGGTCTGAAAACAAATATAATACTCCAGCAGACAGATAGCTATTGATTGCTTTTGTTTTACACACTGAATAATTAAAATAACACTTGATTCAGCCTGAGAAGGTAAATTTGATCTCAGTAGTAATGTTTGTCAGCAGAATGCATATGGAAATAATTCACTACCTGTTATTAAAGATTTTGTCAATTCCTAACATACAGAATAGAACATACAGATACAGAAGTTTATCTTTGAGGCTTGGGTTTTTGTTTTRCATGTTAGTGGTAATCTTTTAGATAAAGGTGCAAGTCTCAAATTTGTTAGAATGTAGCTTTACTTGTCTTTCTTTAAAACACACAATATGAAATTTGTATGCCCATTTAAAAAAAAATATACTAAAATTTAAGTTTCGGGATCTTTTTTAATGAAAGCAAAAAGGCAGCACAGAAGAAGTCAAGGCAGTATTCAGATAAAGATTGTACATGACAAGAATAACTCAGGAAACTGAATTTGCAAGGTAATTARCACATTCTATGACACTTCACTAAAGCATATCAAGACCACTCTCTGCCTGTGTTCTTTTTATGTCTTGGAAAGAATATAAAAAGAAAGTGGAAATCAGATTTAATTATCACTTCTTCATGTTAGAACTTATTAGCATCTGCACATTTCCACATGGATTCTCTTTTGTAACAGAAACATTCGAGCTATGATAATATCATCGAGGTCAAAGTGCCTTTTAACTCGTCCAAATGAAAACCAAATTTTATTTGTCTTTCTTGTGTTTTAAGTGTTGACAGTAGCTAAATCGATATTGTATATTCAAATTATTAAAACATGTCTATATTGTTATTAACTTGGAATTTAATACTTATAAAATACTTCTGAGTAATGTCTGTGGGTGAATGATGACAGCTTTTAAACAATTTTATTTCTCTGTAGAGAAGAAGGAATCTTAAATGCTCCATGGAGCTTGCCAGAGAGCTTTGGYTGAGATAATGCTCTGCAAGGGAAGGTGAGCCTGGAGCCGAGGAGCAAGGAAATAGACAGGACAGGGGATTGTGTCCAGGAACATCCAGTGSTCTTGATTGCCAGATAAGCCCAAGGTGATGAAAGAGATCCAAGGCCRAACCAGGAAGGTAAAGTCCCAGGTCAGYGTGGCACAAGGCTGGGCACAGGAATCCCTKCAACACAGCTCAGACAAGTACCACAGTCCAGGAGGGAGCCYAAACACAGCTSAGGAGCCCAGGAAAGGCCCSAAAGAGGYTTCTCCCAGATCCTTCTCACAMAGCTCTTTCCCAGSAGCTGCACCTGAGGTTGCAGTCACACTGCACCAGAGATAGTYCTGAGCACCCACAGGCAGYGTGTTGGAAGTGGGAAGAGGCTGCAGAATCTGTTGATGCTCTCAGGGGCCTTGCAGAGCTCTCCTCAGCTGCACTAAGGCTTGAGAGTTTGCRTAAAATTTCTGAATGTCTGTTAAAAAGGAACAGATGGGATCTCCTGTGTTACTCAGCCCTACTCACCTATCCAGGTGTGACAGGTAACATTTGAACTCTTTAGARAAGGGATCCAAACCCCTTTCACAGACCCATTTCAGCAGAACATTCCTAGTTCATACTTTTCAAAACAGAAGGAATACAAGTGACTCTGAATCCAGGCTGATAGAGTTCTAATACAACTTCCACAGCAGTGATGAAGAAATATTCTCAGCTAAAGAGAGCTCTATTAACAGCATTTTCTCATGGTGCATTAAAGTTGTAAGTTCTTGTCACAAAYCTGGAGATGGCACTGGGCATGCCTATCTTGGTTGTTTTGGAAGAGACTGGTCTGGCCGAACCTGGCATCTATCTGGGTGAGGGTACGTTGCTAAGAGGGGCTGAGATTCGCAAGAGAAAATCTGTGTCTTCCTCTTCCAGGGCTTAGGGATCCCTTTCCGTGTTTTAATTGGCCAGTTAAAGTATCTCCTTGAAGAACATTTTTTTTGACTCCTGTGATCAACTCTCCTGAGAAAAGAGTAAAATATGGACTACAAGAGCAGTAAATYGGCCTGTGGTGGTTGAGTTGTATGACTTGGCATCAATGCATGCAAGRAGACATTCAGCATCAAAGGCTGGGGGAGAGGTTTCTGCATTCATCTATACCTGCTCTAACAGAACTAGGTATTTTAAAGCTGGGTCAAAATTACCTTTATGCATTCATCTCCCAGTGTATTAGTTCACAGAGAATTAGCAATAAATGGTAATGGTGTTTGGATGATAACCTCTATCTTCCACTGATTTAACATTGTTTGATTTCAGAAAATATCTTCATGTTGAGTACCAACATGGTTTTTTGAACATTAATAAAGGCAAGCATGAATCCCTAAACCTTTATTATCTATRGGAAGTATCTTTCAGGATTGAAATGTTTGATCTTCTGAGGCTTTATTCTCAGACATTTGCAGATTCTGCAAATTGTATCTGGGGATAGTTGCTCCCCATGCAGTGGCACTTCACAGTTTTACTGATTGAGTACACATGCTTTCATGGCCTGTAAATGTGCAATAATACTTTGGGCAATGATAGCAGCCTTGTTTTCATTCCAGTAGCATCTTTTCTTATACTAAAATTTGTGCTTGTGTTCGATTTTGTGTTTGCAGATGCAGAATCCTAATCTGTGGATACAGGCTGAGTGATGACATTTTGCCATAATAAGGTGAGGRAACAGTTTCATTAGGAAAATAATTGTAAGGGCCAAGATTTTTCTGCATGAACCATAATTTTACCGTCTACTTTTCAGATGCTTTTTAGAAGGTTTTAGAAAATCAAGAAGGACCTTGGTTTTCAAAGGGAAATAAGGAAGACTAAGTCTTCTTGAAAGAAGTCTTTGAAGACAAACTTGTAAAYACAAGGAGCAAAAGGGAAGATGTTAAAACATCATAGAGAAATCTATCAGCAGTCAATGCCTTCAGTCTTCCTTACAACTGCTTCTCCTGGCATATTACATTTGAACCAAAACCATATAAAATTACTCTAAATATTAACAGAATCATCTGTTTACTATTACATGTATATTGTTGACAGCACATTTAAAAGCCGTTTTCCTCAAATAATAATAAAAATAATAACTTCCATTTAAATATAGTTTGAGAAATCCTGAAAGATAACAGCATAAAAGGGACCATCAACAAATCTGTGTACCTTCCACATTAACCACAAACACTAGTCYCACACAATTCAGGATTTTCAGCATTATGGATTGCTGCACATGTTTTCTTACATTATCTTTTGTAGATCTCAGCTGTGTTTCTATTTCTATCAGTATCATTAATACTCAACCTCCTCTGCAACACAGTTTTACTCTGACTTTTAAAATCCCTCCCAGAATTATCCTGTTTATTCTTCTACTCAAAACCTATATTATTATTTATTCGCTGCACATATCCCTATGGCATATGGCCCCACGTCCTACAAGGCTTAAATCTCTCATCCACAAAATACTGAAGCTCTGGATTTTGCTACAGTTGAATATTAGATCTTCTTTTATCACTCTGCTGTAAGTTATGTCAGCTTTCAACCACCATTTTCTGTACCACATCTTATTTGTTTGATGGTCTTTTATCATCTTGCTCCAGATCATAAGAACAAGCTGATGCCTTAGATAAATTTTATTTTAACTCAGTAATTTTTACATAGCTTAAATGATTTTACAATGAGAATCTTGCCACTGAAGAGAAATGGAAGCTTTTTTAACTCTGTAAGTCTCTCTAATTGTTTTACCAATTGAGTGTCTTTTCATGGAGATATGGAACAGTATAAACCAATATGCAAGTAAGAAATCACTAGGTATATGTGAAGATGTACAATTTCTGAAAAATGTAAGTTTAATAGGCTTTTTCTTGTTTTGTTTCAATAAAAMCACCATTTTTAATCTTGAAAGACTGAATGGATGAAAACAGAAAACWAAAAATTATCTCTCATTTTTAAAATGAGAGGTAGTTATACGGTGCAAATTTCACCTCTTAGCTTCAAAGTGCCCAAATATGACTGGTTTCGATCAATCTATAGCTTTTTGAGATAGGATTGTTATCTTCCATGGCTTATGAATTGAGGAAGGGGAACATTTACCAGTTTTGTATTGAGTGATCAGACGTGCTTTGAAATAGATGAAAATAAGGTTTCTTTCACCTGTGGTGGATAAAACAGAGCCATGACCTTCAGGTGATGGTTATGTCATCAAAAAGAACACCACAATGAAGTACTATGCAAATTTCCTATGGAGATTAGAGAACATCAGTCACCAGATGTCTGCAGAGCAGGCTGTATTGTGTCCCTAGAACTGTTGATTTTTTTGGGAAAGACTACTGGATTTGTAGACTAAGTAATATAGGATTGGGAATAGCATATGCCATCTTTTTGATTCTGACTCAAAATCACAGGGAGTCAGACCCTGTAAACATTTTAAAATGGAGGGAGCCTACAACAAAACTTGACCAGCCCCTCCATGTAACAAGTCTCAACCTCAGAAAAAGCAGCGAGAACCGAACACAAGATTAATTTCCCACTTGTAAAAATCCTTGTTTGTAGAAATGGGATAGTTAGTCTTTGTCAAGGCACAATTATGGTTCATGGATTCAGCTTTAGTCTGTCTGCCTGAGGGAGAGGATTGTAGAAGAGTTGGGGCTCCATATGTGACAGAGTTGGGGCTCCATATGTGACAGAGGACAAGTTTTAAATTACATTTAGTGCAGTGTCAAGCATATAAGAAGCCTTATTCTCTTAAATGTGCAGTGGTGACCATAGTAATGATTCCATTAAACATCTGACAGAAAAGGAATAAGAACCTGTAGACCAAACTAAAATAAATGTTACTGAGCATTGGTTCTTTTGGTCTATCTTCAATTTTTTTCCAGCCTAGAAATGCATAAAACCAGTCATTACATCTCACCCTATATTCTGCTCCATCTTTTGATGTCTCTTGTTTTAAGCAGTTTTGAAGCTACAAGCTGTCTTCTGCAAAGGCAGTCATTCCTAAACCTTGGGGAGAAAAGGGAGAGTTCCCCTGCTATGTGCYGTCTCTGCTGAGAAGCATGTTGACCTCAGTATCCATAGCATTAAAAGATAAAAATGGCCTTTAGAGTTTCATTTCTGTACTTCCCCTCAGGARTCTGTGTGGAGGTTTTTGCCTTTCCTGGCAAACAAAGAGGTCTGGATGCCTGAAGGGGGCCTGGTTCCTCCCTAGCGCCCTGACCTGAGCTCGTCTGGGATGGTGGGTCTCACGCCATCCCTCATTACGGGTCAAATCTCACAGCACACTTTGTCTTTCTATGCTCCATTAACTGTTTATCCTCTGAAGGCTGGACAAGGGCACAGCCCTTGAAGCTGCTGAAACCCTTCCTTTTTGAGAGGGAGTAGACCAGCCAAGTTTGTGAAATAAAAYATTGTTTAAGAGTTCAAATAGAACAGGAGAGAATGCTTAAGCAAAGTTTAAAATGAACTGCMAGTAAATATTTATTCTTACAAGATGTAATTAGACCGGGAAGTAGCTAGGTAAATACTCATCTCCCACACAGACAAGATGTGATTCTTTCACTCCAAGTCCACAAAAATATATAAGCTAGACACTAATACAGAAAATATTTATGAATTATCACATCCAAATGAGCACAGCTGTATTGCAGTAAGGCTACGCTGGGTTATACTGATACAGTCCTGGCTGTGACAATAATTCATCATATGCCATGCAGCATTCAGTTTTGAGGAGAGAAATGGGATTTGACTTTAAATTAATTAAGTAGTCCTAATTTAAATATTTGATGAGAAAAAAAAAAATATGGTTCTCTACTCATTACTTTTTTCTAACTTCAWTACTGAGGTGAAAGTGCTTAAGAAAAACGCATGTTATCTTTCTCAAACTGGATTACACTTGATCCAAGCAATCACAGAGATCATTGAAGACACTGCAATTAGAGAGTGTGCGCAGGACATTCAAACTACATGTATTGCAATCACAATGTCTAATTGAGTACAATTCTGTCATTCCACCATCTTAAGGCATCTAAGTGTGTAAGCTCATGATGAATGTTGACCTTATCATTATTCAGCAAAACATTTGCGTGTGCAGTATTCTCTAATTAAGATGGGCAATTCTCTGATGCCTGAATGGTTCCCCAGAATTAGTCTTGAAAGGAATGCACCCGCCTGGACTAGTGAGTGACAACCCTGCCCATGTCATGGGGTTTGGAGCCAGCTGATCTTTMAGGCCCCATCCAACCCAAACCTTKYCATGATTCTATGAATTGWGTAAAACCAGATAGCTGGGCATGATCTTGGTGGGCCCACTTAAAAATTCAGGAGTACAATTTCACAGTCTGGCTTTTTGTATCTGAATATACCAAATGCCTCTAGCAGGGGCAAGTACAGAAGGTAATAGGATGAATTAGATCAGTGATCTCTCTCTCTAATGTACATATTTCCACAGGTGCAGAGAAAGGAAATGCTTGTTACAGCAAACCATCTTTTCCTTTAATTTAGAGCATCCATGTGAAAACTTTTGTCATTATATAGAAACTAACAGAGAATATGAAATGAAACTCATCCATGTGCCTTGCTCTTTTTTTTTTTTAATTTATGACAGTATGACTTTTGTCTAGAGCTGCAAATGTTCCCTTTCTATGTATTTACTGCAAGTAACCAACATAGAATCTCTGCATTTCATTTTTTTTGGGCTTTGTATTCAGAAACTTCTAGTTTGGAATATATTTAATTTGAGTATTAGACTGGTATGAATAAGACTGCTCTATTCTTTTTGTGAAYAGGAGTTCCAAGTCTTTCAAAAACAAAACGACAATTTCCCCTGCACAGTCATTATCAAAACGTTTCAACAGAGTGTGCTCATGTACTGTGAGAGCTGAAGCTGCTTATAGTTTGAAGATGTTTTTCTTATCTCTTGTTCTTCCTCTTTAAAAATAATTAACTGCAAAAGCTGCTTTCCCTGTCAGGTTTTTCAATGACATATAAYGTCTCCAGAAGAAACAAGCATCATCTTACATAATTAAACAGAGGAAGAGAGGGAATTCTAGATGAGAACAGTRGGAGTAAAATTTCTTTTCAGAAAGTCAGTGTTTAACAGCAAATAGCACARAGATTCAGCAAGCTTTTTGTGTTACTGAAAGTATTGCGCTGTGCCCTGGTGATTAATCCCATGGCCAGCTTGTGCATGGCACTATGCTTTCAGAGAAGAGATCWATTGTGAGGAATCGAGACTGAGACTGGAGTCTTGGGGCATGGCAGAGCCAAAATGGATTCTTCTGCTGAGGCATGCTTGCAAAAGGTTCTGCCAGGCTAAATGTTGTGATGGTAAGAGATGCAGGAGTTTTTGTAACCCAGATCATATTTTGCCAAAAAAACCCCGATATTTGTGTGGGATGACACAAATATTATCTCATTCAACCCAAAGACCACAGCAAATAGTCAGCATTGGAGACAGCACCAGAACTAGATGCAAATGCACAGCCCTCCTTGTAATGCATCTTTTGACAAAGTTGGAGTCATTTCCCATTCTGTTCATAGAAACACTTCAAACCCTTGATACTGAAATCAATTCTCTGGATAAAAACAATAAAATAAAAATCTGCTCAATATGGGCAGGAATGGAGCATGTTTGATGCAGCCCAGCATTCACCCAGATCCACAAGGGCTGAATATTTTGAAAAA